TTTTTTTGAGGCCCGAAAAAAAAATTATCTCAGATGGACCGGAAAAAAATATTTTCTTATAGAACGTGGGCTGTAGAATCCATAATTGCAAACAGTTCCAACATCGAGCAACTAGATCAAAAGTTACAGCCCTTTGAATTTTTTGTCGAAATCGGTTTTTTTCCCATAACTTTTGATTGAGACGTCTAATCGAAAAAGTACGAATCGTTTTGGATTCTACGCACCAAAATTAACAAGAAAAAGTGTTTTCCCGAGAAATTTTGGTGCAGTCGATTTTTGGTAAAAAAGGAAGGTTATACACTGCCTTTTTTTGAGGCCCGAAAAAAAAATTGTCTCAGATGGACCGGAAAAAAATATTTTCTTATAGAACGTGGGCTGTAGAATCCATAATTTCAAACAGTTCCAACATCGAGCAAGTAGATCAAAAGTTACAGCCCTTTGAATTTTTTGCCGAAATTCTGACAGCGCCAATCGATAGCGCTGGTCGTGACCTTTCCAAAGGGGGGTTAGAAGGCATATCTACGACGCACCGTTCTCGAGATATTACGATTTGAAGTTTCGACCAAGATATGGGTACTCTTACTATACACTGTGTCCATGATAAGGATATTCATGGGGATCTCGGAAACCGTAGAAGATACGATGATGGTCATATTAGGGAAAAGTTGCGAAATTAAACAGTTATTTATTATCATGCTTAAAAAAAAATTTGCCCCTAGGCATTCTTCTCGCTGTGCGTGGGTGCACCATCCTGTTGAAACCAACAGTTTCAAACTTTTGTTTTTCTGTGTGTCGTACATCGTTGCAATCGTCATAAAAAATGCTACTCATTACAGTGTGTATTTTTTTAAGGGACATATAAAAAATAAAGTTGATGATGATTTCTCCGAAACGAAACGTTGTATTCAAAATCTCTCAACGTTGTCTTGTAGAGCTTAAAAAGTGGCAACGAGAAAATGTTTTTTGATTTTTCTGTAACTGCTCAAATAACATATCAGGAAAAAATAAAAACAAAATCGGCAAATTTGGATTTTTCTGGCATATCTTCGGAAGTAATCGGATGTAATCTTAGTGCTCAGGCAATAATACTAGACTTCTCTACCTTGGTATAATATAATATATACTATCACAGATTTAAATATCTGACACTATTAATGAGTTTCTTTTTGTTACCTACTTAGTTGTGATCCGATTAATTTCTGTGCAATTATTCCATATCTGTGGCTGCCAACACTCTGTTGCACCTAGTCCTAGCCTAGCAAAGGAAACCAGAGAAAACAGACTCTTAGAATCCATTAGTAGAAAAGTCTTAGAATATTCTTAGATTATTATAAGAGAAAATGTCTTCAAATTACTTAACAGAAAGTCTAGTGGATGCATAAGTTTTTCGTTAATAAAATGTTATGCATTAACTGCTGTAAACTGTAAAGCAGCCTAGGGCATTTGGACCCTTGAGCCTAGGCACTGACAACCATGGAGCTTAGGTACGTATGCCGTGAAATAAGCATGTGTGAATTTTGACCGTTTCTAGAGCGGTAGCTCTCTCCAGTTACCATTGGCTTTCTGAAAGTTCGAAAACGTGCGCTTTGTTTGGATCTTAGGGGCGGGAAGCTATAACTGCGAACTTTTTTTTTAATATCTTAGATATACTTCCCTTCAGAAAACATCAAACCTTTAGAATTTTCAGGATTGTAGCTTTGCGACCTCAATTCAAGTTTCAACACAATCTAAAATATGCAGTTCGAGCGTGCCACAAAAAGTTCAACTCTCCTGGAAGACATCCGGTACTTACTTCAAAACTATATTTTCTTATAGAGATAAGATAGGATGGTTGACGGTTAACTGTAATTATTTTATAATATTGTACCGAGTGTCCGAGACATTGAGGTGCCATATAAGATAAGTCACCCACGATAAGGAACGAAAGCGGATGTGAGGCGTTCTTTCTTAGAAATGCGCTATATACCGACTTCGCAGGTATCCAGGAATTAATTAGAAACTTTCCGTTTCTACATAAGCAAAATATTGATGCCGAACTGATTATTAGTGAAGTTCGCGCTAGTATGTTATAAATTGTGCACAAATAATAATTAATTCTTATAAACCAAAACCATATAAGGACTGTTATAAATTCATTATTAATTAATTGTAAATAAATAAATCACGTAATTAAATTTACGTTACAAATAGCACCCTGAGCTTAGGCTAGCAACCGCGCGACTTTTAGAAGTGGAACGCTTCTTACGTTAGGGCCATCTTGGTTTTGAGTTGCCGTAGGTAGGCACTAACAAAATCTCTTCGGTTTTGAATCTATGTACAATATGAGTTGCGATTCATTAATTTCCACATATTTTGTTGTTAATGTTGGATATGCCTTCCAAGGGTTGCCTATTCTAGTCGAAGCGAGGATTTTAAAGAAATACCCTCCATTATTTTAAAAGAAGATTGGTTGCATCAAGAAATTTTACTTAAAGAGAATGGGCTATTCCAATTGCTTTTGAAACCAGACAGGTTTTACACGCCCTAAAAAAGATAAAATAGAAGCGGAACTTTATTGTCTCGAAAATGATGGTATTGGTATTGCCATCTGTTGTTTTGGTAATATACCAATTTTTTGCGCAGAGGAACACTAAGCAAGCAAAAGATGATCCTTGACGTTCTCAAAGTTTTAACGTTACAAAGATTCTATAGGGATTCTGAGATCCTAACAGGTTTCTAAGACTTCTGAGGATTATAAGATTCCAAAAAAATTAAAAAAATAGATTCTAAGAAATTACCAAGAGTATTTTAACGTGATCCTAAAATCGTATGATTCCACGAAGACTGAGAAGAATCTCAGGAAACTCCAAGAAAATTCTAACTTAATAAAAATAATTAAAAAAACTAGGGTTTTTTGTGTCATAAACATTTTAGGACAATTGTGTCAAAAGTTAGAGCGCGTAGAAAATAATAAGCTTCTGTTGTGGCGTTCACATAAAATTGTATGGCGGAGGAGAATAAAACTGTCAAACACACTAAAGGTAGAAACTATTTCTACGCCCTCAAAAGTTACATTTTTGGGGTTTTTAAAAAAAAATGTTTCCCAACGCATACAGTGTGTGGGTAGATTTGCTTAACATTCCTTGAGGAGATAGTTGGTGCGTGTTTTAAAACGGTTTTCCACCAATCAGATCCAAGTTGCCATGTACCATATACAGGGTAGGACAGAAAATGCATAGTTCACATAAAAGTATAGTACTCTTGTTTTAAAAAATAGAAGAAATTTGTACTTAAAAAAGTTGTATTGTAGATATAGAGAATTCTAGACGATTTTATTAAATTAATTACACTAACATAAATACCACTCTATTTGATTCATTATTTACCGTTAGGTATGGGTTAATGATCGAATAATTCTGTACATGTCCCTTGGAAACGGCTGCTTTTTCTGGTCACAATTGGGAAACCGTTTCATAATATTCCGATTAAAAAATAGTTTGTGCGAGTGCGAATATATAATAAAATTATCATTAGGATGTAAATAAAACAAAGTTCAAAACTATGCGTTGATGAAACTATACATACATACATTCATATTCGCACGTACATAGTTGATTAAAAAAAATGTTTGTCGAAAACGGATGCTCGATAAGCCGTTTATTTACAATTGCGAATCTAAAGATTACTATTAAAGGTCAGAGGTTGCAATCTCTTTTCGCAGAATTCGCCCCCATTCATTCATAACGACGCGTATAAAGGGGTTCAAGTTTAGTCACACACACAACACCACCGGGGGATTACGCAAGGAGGGGTTGCGTGACTCATCGTATACAGGCGAGAGTTCCGAGAAACGAGAGTTTGGGAGCACGTGAATCAGACGAGGTCGGGGGTCGGCCGACTAAAAAGGCGCCGCATGCCAACTTCTGGATGCGTCGTCCTGTCTCCTCCGCTTCGAGCACCTGCAATCAAGCTTTCTTTATGTTTGACCGTTCCTTTCACATTTGTGCAAATTACTTTAAATGACGTCAATAGTGACCGAATTTACAAAACCGCATTATAGGCGTCTTACGCACATGCATTCTTCTGTTATATAATTATTGTATTCGACGCCTTTTTTTTTCGGGTAGGAAATGCACGATTTCTGAAATCCCGAAAGTGAGGTCGATGTCAAGGCTTTGTTGTTTATACATTACTATTACTATCTTTGTGCAATTAAAATTGTTTACAGTGTCTGTTGTTGATTCTAATATTCCGACGTACTTTATTTGAGATATCGAGAGGGGGATTTTGCGCGAAAACATTTTTCTGAGGAAATAAATTATCTGCCCTCCTTAAACAATCAATTCATATCGTTTAGTACCCGCAGATATCTCGCCGTGTTCGCGAAAAATTGAGTGTACAAACGTATGGTAAATGGTTGACTGCGTAGCATCAGGTGTACTTTGTTCGGTATGAAAATGGCACCTCCCAGGTTACCACAATCTCACTATCTACCCCATCGAAAAGGTAGGTAAAGCGACAAACCATTAATCATCATTTGACCGCCCTTGTTGCATAATGAAGCGCATGCCCCTATACCTGGACTCTATGGTGTGGAGATTGGCTCTATTTTGATTGTATTATTTTTTTTGTTCTCAACCCACGTAAAGAGGAGTCTCCTCCTTCGCAACAAAATTGCTGCGGTTTTTTCGATTTATTCCATACTTACAAATTAAATAGATTTTTATAACATACGAACAGTCGGCGACAAAAAACATGGAGAGGAGATGGACATCTACGGTATCAAATCTATCTTAAAATTACTGCAAAATTCCTTTTTTTATCATTTTCTTAGCAGACATAAGTGTCAGATTACGTTTTTGAAAATTAATTTTGCAAAAATTTTCCAAAAATCTCTACCGCAAAATGGCACACTCTGATGAGTAGGTGGGAAAAAACTGATTTAGATAAACTGTAATTGTGCACTTGAGTTTTCCTACAGCTACACGTGGATTTTCTTTGAAGAGAATTCCTCGGGACCTATTTCCCCATTTTTTTTTGAAACGAAAAAAGTATTCCAAACCGGTTTGTTTGACGAATTTCTATTGGCTCTTGGTGAAACAATCGCGTGCGCAAACCAAACAATCCAGCAATTATTCATAATTAAAGAGCGATTCTCCACCAAAGGTGAATACCTATGTCAGAGACGAAGACCTCATTGGCCTACAATCTTTTAAAATAAGTATACGGGCTCAGGTAAAGGAATTATCGCACCTAACCTCCTCTTTTAAAAGGATTTAATTAAAAAAAGATTAGAAAGAAGTTTTTAAGGAATTTATTTGAACCTTTTTTAAATCTGTTTGAATCTTTTCAATTTTTTTGAATCACTTGAATCTTTTTTAATATCATCCTTGGTGTGCTATAGTTTTGAAAAGAGAATTTAATATGCTGACTGTTTGGATTAAAATATATAGGGCATTTCATTTAAAAAACGATATCATTTTTAATTGACCCCGTGTACTTATTTTGAAAAGGGTAGATTATGCAACAATCATTTGTAATAAACATATTTCCGATAACTGAATCAACAAAGAAATTATACGGTTTTATTTAAAAATGGTATAGTGCACCTTTTTCCTATAACTCAAAAACAAAAAACTGTTTGGTTTTCAACATAGAGATTGCAATGTCAATTTTTTTCCATTACTTATCGTTTTCGAGTTACCTTCGGAGTTGTACAGAGATTTATACACAATCGTGAATGTAGTCCAATTTTAATATTTGACATAATTCCGAATGCACCTTTCTTTACCTATATCTTTAAGAGCGGGCTGTGTTCCGACGCTTATTCACTCTAAAACAAAGAAAAGAAACAAGAAACCCGAGTTAATCCACTCGGTAATTGAAATGAAGAATTGCTTGAGAGGCCAAATCCCGATCCACCGCGTGAATTAACGTGTTACTTACTATTCCTGAAGAAGGCACATTTATACACCACCCAAATCAAGTGAAGCTAATTACTTACTTATTATTAATGAAATTTAAAGTAACATACATTACACCCCCTTTATATTCAATGAAAGCCTCAATAAGAAGAGATAGGGTTCAGCCCAAAAACCACCCTGAAGGCTACCACTTCGATCATTACTTATGTGATTTATCGACATTGAATTTCTCAAAAAAACCAATAGGTTACTAATTTAGAAGTGAAATATCAAGAAAAGGAAACGAAGTACGAAAAGCCTATGCACGTTAAAAATGGCGCTCGTTAAAATCAGGTGCAATAGCCAGTGGTACTCAATCAAAAACCAGGTGTCAAATTCTTGACAGAATAGCTTCCTAGCTGAAACCAAAAATTGCCAACATACTTGATTTTTTGCGCATGCATTTTGTTTTCTTTTATTAGGAGAACCTACCATCCAAATTTCGTTTTAATTGTTCCATAAATAAGAAAATTGCATTTCTGCGCATGCGCAACACGATTTTTGCGCATGAATTTTGTTTGCTTTTATTAAAGGGACTTACCATAGAAATTTCGTTTAAATTGCTTCAAAACAAGATCGTTGCGTTTTGCACATATGCAACACAATTTTTTGACTTTGACAATTTTTTTCTCCGTTTTTTGATAATATAACCCGGCCCAATTTTTTGTAGGTTGTACACAGGAAAATAAGGTCTTCCAAATAATAGAATAAAAATTTTAGGTTGCTATTTGAAAAAATAAGTTCGATGCCGTTACGGCGCTCCAAAATTTTTTTTCAAAAATCCGGCCCGTTATTTTTCTGTTCGGTATGCCTAAAACATATATACAAAATTTCAACAAAATCCGTCGAGCCGTTTTCTCAGAAAATTGCCAACAAACGTACGTACGTACGTACGTACGTACGTACGTACATACAGACGGAAAAAAATTTTATTCTTTAAAAGTTGCTTAAAATGGTCTAAAACGTCGACATTTGATGAAATTTTGAAATGTTCAAAAAACGGCTATCGCAATAGCTACCTAGCACATGCTAGGAAGCTAATTACAGTGACACTCAACCAATACTAATTTATATTTACTTGAGAAAATAAAGGAATTAATTAACAGTTAGGAGAGGGATGCTCCCGTGAAGTTTGTGATTAAGCCGAGGATTAAGCTACATATACCTCAACTGTAAAATAAATGAACTGTTTCTGCTTCATTTGATTGTATATTTAGGCACTCTTCGATTTTCAGTTTGCATACCACTGGAATGAGTAAACGAAGATATCAAAAGCAAATTTCGAGAGAGATCAACGTGATGATAATCTCCAAATTTATACCTAATAAAAAATCCGATACAACTGAATACCGAACGATCATTTTTACAATACACCTTAAGGGGTTGATTCTGTCCCACCAGATCAGTATGACTTGTAAAACAAATTTTTTTAATCGGCATTAGTTTTACTTCTATTCGAAATTTCATTTAAATATCTTAAACATCTTAACAAATAAACAATTCGAGATTGCGCATGCGCAAAACAAATTTTTTTGAATTAATAATAATAATAATTGGCATCAGTTTTATTTACTAACACAGAAAACTGGACATTCGTATATTCTCTGTAACAAGAGTTATAAAAAAGGTTTGAGCAGTTTTTGGGCTATAACTTTTTGGCCCGTTGGTCCACGTAGCCGAATAACGACCTTTCTTATATCCTGAAGAATATGTATATCAATTTTCAAAGCGATCGGACGTTTCTACACAAAGTTATCGTGGACACGGACAGACAGACGGACAGACAACAGTACAAAATTATAAACGATCTCGAGGATCGTTAATAAACTGGCTTCCGTTGGCACATTATACATACACTTTGTTTATTTCGTTTCAAGCTCTTATTAAAATAGGTACAAAGGTTTTCAAAGTCTTTCGACTTCTAGCTAGTTCTCGTGTTCAAACTGCAACAGGATTATTGAGAGAAGATGGTCTAATAATTGTTCTCCACTACTCCACCTACGTTGGGTCCCAATTTTTGGAATGAATTTTCCAGGCGAACTTCCGGTAGAAATAGTCCACAATTCTAAGGCCTATAGACGAATATTTCTGTTAAATGAAATTTTCCGAGGGTGCACTTTTCCCAAATGAGAACTTCCGGGAGGTGGTTGACATTCCAAACCGAATACTTATTTTCTCGGTGGAGGATTTTCAGGGTGAAATTTCCGCCGACGAATATTAATTAATTAATTAATAAGAAAATGACAATTGGGAGATAACTTGGGCGCATCAGAATCCATTTTCTAATTAATTATTCTAGGTAGGTACATTGATTCATCAGCCTCTTATAATTGGCATCATCATAGAAATTGATTTAACTGACCAATTATTAATTTCTAAAATTGACTGTCAACATTGATTATTTCTCAGAATATGACCATACAACTTAATTTTATCAATAGCAAGTACCGCAATGAAATTTTATTTCAATTACCTAGGTACGCCTAATTGCAGTCCAAAATTCCTTTCGTTTTTTCCTAGTCTACAGTAAGACTTGTCGAAAATTGTTACATTTTCCTGTTGATTTGTCAAGGAATTCGTTACCCGCCCCAAAACTGAATTTAGGGATGCGAATGCAAAATTTCCAGGTACGAAAATTGGAGGTTCGTATTGTTTCCATCGATTAATGCAATCTTTCGCGAAAAAAAACTGGATTATGAAAGCCCGAGTGTCACAGAATTCCCCAAGTCAAGAGATCAGCTTTTATCATTGTTTTTTTGGACTATCGACTTGTATACACATGGTGGTCATCGATAAAGATCGCATTTGAATTTGTGGCGAGCGATTCGGGATGATCCACATTTCGGATCGGGCTGTACATCGACTGGCAATGATATACTTGTGGTCAAAAAATTGGGAATTTCAGTAGACGTTCAGTGCAAATCAGTTATGGTTCTCCCGGTTTCGGTGCTCTAAGACGATGCCGCCAGACTTGCAAAACATTATGTGCTTCCTAG